AAAAAGAATAGTACGTTTCTCCCTTCATCAGAAGTTGGTCGTAACGGTTGACAATTTACAGTGTTTAATTAATTTTTGTAAAGAACAGGCTTACAGTACCAAGTTTATTTCTGTTGCTAATTTAGGCTAGGTTCCTTTATCGCTTAGTGTAGGTGATAAAATAAATCCTCTTGAATTTAATTTGTAGGTGACAACAACAGAACAATTAAAACAGCACAAGGTTGTATCAATGCTACAGCTGGATCTTTCACCAAGAATACCGCAAGCGGAGCATAATCATGTCGTGTATATCTTATCGACATCTAATTCATCAGTAATCAACAAACTAATCACATGCCTCAAACATGCTCGATCCGCTAATGTAATTTTTATAGTCCCAATTAACGATTTGTAAGGATAATTACTTACGAATAACATGATGTACCTCATTGTTTTGCTTTTCCTTTTTTGTCAATCTATTTCGAACCAAATTTATCTTTCTAAGAAAGCAGCTCATTTTTCTTTTTTCCTTATTTTTTTGTTTTTCCTTTACATATTATCAGTCGCATTGATCGTCATCAGCATTGTATTGGCAATGCGGTCTTAGCACTTTTCCTTCTTTTTCTTGTTGAATAAAATTGCTGTATATTCAACATCTAGCTAATGTCGAATTTGTTGTCACTAACATTATAATCCTTCCTCCGCAGCAAAGAAATGCGTATTTTTCAGGATAATCGCCAGCACCACGCCTTGATAGTTCCAGAAGCTTCATTCATGATTCGGGAGGCGTTAAAACAGAGCCGAGAAGCAAACTCATTCTTGAAAACACTTGAATCACTGCCGTTGAGACTCTTTCCGCTCTACAATGATTTCCTTACTCTTCTTATGGATAATTTACCGTCAAAGCTTCTTTTAGATAACGTAAGAAATGTTTAATTGGAAAGTTCATATTTTCGTTTTCAATATTGATATCATTAGCTATCCGAAATGTCGATTCAATGAATTTCAGGATTGGACTGAATTACAGAAGTGCGCTTCAGCCGTACGACAACTTGAACTTTTAAGTGGCTGTTTACCCAACTTAAGGTGCAAAGGGAAATGGGCGGCGCAGGTAGTTGAAATTATAAAGAAAATGAGGACTCAGGTGAATAATATTTTTGCATAATTTTGTCGGGTTCAGGATAATCATTTACGTTGTATTTCGTCATTGTATTTTGAGCTTAATTCAGAATTTCTGTTAAGCGAAATATTTTAGGAGGAGACGGAGGTTTTATCTCAGCATAACGATTTTCAAATATCTGATATTATCTTAATCGATAGGTGGATCGACCCTTTGACACCTCTTCTGATACAGTTAACATACGCTGGTTTGGTCGATGAAATATTCGATATGGGTGTCACAGGTTTTGTATTTTCTATGTATTTATTGCATTCGTGCACTTGCCCCATAAACTGAGATTTATTATCCCTCCATCTGCATGTTTATTAATAATTGTTAAATAATAACTTTGGTGATAGTATGAGTTCTTAAATCCGGCTTTACGTTTAGCCTTGCTTAGCAACTCTTGAAAATCACAGCAGGTCCTATAAAAAGTATTTTTTTCTTTTTTTTTCTTTTTCCTTCCTTTTCCTCCTTCATATTTTCTTTTGCTTCCTGTTATTTCATCACATATTTCTCCTTCACATCTTCGATAGAAAAATACCTAGCTCGTAGCTTTTGGTGAAAATTCGAGTAGTGCAATTTTGAAGCATTTAAACGCTTCCAGTTATTATGAATTCTATTCGTTATAAAGTAGCCAAGGAACCTTTTGCAAAAATTTCAGTCACTTGGTAATGACAAATATTATGAGTACCATAGAATATTATGAGTATTATGAGTACCATAGAACAAAATCTCAGGAGAAACCTTCCAAAAAAGTAGAGTGAGCACTCATGGCCTGTTTTATTTTTTTCCCGACACGTATTGCAGATTTTCCGTTACTGAAACTGAGGGCAAGTATACACTTTATTCAGGTAACATTAAGACATCAAAAGTAAAGAGCGCAGGTGATTCAGCCGATCCTGCCGGGGAAATACCCTTGCACGATCCGCTTTTTAAAATGATTCGAGATCTTCATATCAAGGATGTTGGAAAACAAATAGCGGAAACGCTTGGAACGCTTCGTGATGAGCGGGCAGTATGTTTTATTCAATGCTGTAACGTGTGACATTTATTGGCGCTGTTTTTGAGTTTGAATTAGTGATTTGCGGTGAAATTTTGTAAGATTTTAAAAGTAAGCACATATATATTTACGTAAAATAATGCATACATTAATATAACAAGCATTATTGCAGATGCCCATTCCGCCATGATTTGCATATCGACTATTTATTCACCCACCGTATCTTTTGTTCTTCTCCTATTCATTAATGTTTGTAGAAATTAAAAGAAAATCCACCGAGTGATTCTGTAGCGGAAAGCAAAGTTTTTGTTCGCAGATTACTTGACATGCAAGGAAGTGAGAGACATGCCGACACTCATACACTGGTTGCCGAACGTCTGATGAGTTTTATCCGCGATGATTTGCAATTCTCAACCTTTCCGAAGTTGGCGATTGGTAATGGTTTAGATTTTCATTTTTCATTTTTTATTTTGGATTTTCCAACTTTTTTTCTTTTTTTTCTACAGTAGTGTACTTCAGGAATAGTTTTTACTGAATTTTGTTCAAGATATTTGTAAAATTTTGTATAAAAATATCATGCTTCCATATTTAATGGCTTCGAAACTGCAAAAATTATTCTAGGTATTATGCAAGGAGAATATGGTGACAGAGTTATTCCGCAGGTTGAAGATCTTATTCTAGAAGCATATAATCCTTTAATTGTTTTGCGTTTCATTGCACTTCAGTGTATGGTTGCTGGTGGTTTCAAGAATGCTACCATTAGTGCGTATGAACGACTTTTCATCCAGGTACTTCATAAGCGTTATATCATTTCTTGTTCATCAAAGTCCAGTAGATTTCACATTTTCAGATAGTGAAAGGAATATCTCGATGATGGTAAAATTAATATCAAATATGTTTTAGAGCTATGGTGGATATTATATGTCACTGTGGATAAAACTGCAAATAACGGGACTTTTGTGGGAAAGGAATGGCAAAATAAAAGTAAGTATTTCAGATCAAACAAAATTGGGAAAGTTTATGATTTAAATTTAACATATATTTCACACGCCGATGGTGAAACTACACAATTTCCAGTGCGAATATGCTCCATTTGATTTCCAAACAACATGTAACCGACTGTCATGTTTTGTCGATGAAGAGCACAATGTAAGTTGTCGATAGAATGTCTGGGATGTCAGAATATAAAAGGATAATATTCAAGAAAAAAAACAAAACAAAGATAGTCGGCTTATAGTTAGTATTTTGGGCTTTTGAACTGAGAAGCTTGATGCAAAATTAAGTAAGATACTTCTGGTAAGGAATATTAAGTTTTTACACTTACAACCCATGCCTATTTGCTGAGTTGACCAAATTTGTTTGGTCTGAAGTGGTTCGGTATTTAAGTTTCTACGGTGATGCGTTTCAAAAAAAAATTCGAAAAGTAAAAGAAAGAAGAAATTATGTGTTCACCACTATGTATTGATTAAGGTATGTGGAACGACAGCATATCCTTATAGTGGTTACATACCCGTTATTGTTCGATATATTGAAACGGGTATACGAAACAGTTGGCGAGACTGGACAACGATTCTGAGCGATGATCGTCCAGCAGTTGGTCGCAGCACTCATTCCATCATTTTCATTATTGGTGGTATCACGCAAGCTGAGTTAGCATGTCTCAGGAAAACGCGTTTTTCAAACAAACTGTTGGTCGTTTCAAGTTCAGTAATAACGAGTAATAAGTTGATTAGTTCAATACAAAATGGTTAGCCTTTTCATTGGGTTACAAGTCTTTGTACAGATACTGCCTCTTTTGTCGAAAAATAAAAAGTTGTATGGATTTACCTCGAACGAAACACACGACTGGATATGAACGTTGATAGGATTTTGAATATTCACTGCAGGAAACTTACTATTTGTCGCGAATTTCGAATATCGCGAAGCTCCAAATAAAATAAAATAAATAAACCAATGTACAAATCAATCACACAATTTGTAACAATGTCATGAATCATTCAACCAATTTTACATTCCTCAAATTCATTGTCTCATGCGTTTTTCTTTGTTATCTTTATCTAAGTTCACATCCTTTCCTTTTTTTTATGGAACAAATCACATTCATAAACTAAATTTCTTTTTCTAAGAACCAATCTTAATTGCAACGCTTAATGTTGCAAACAGAGCCTTTTGTTGTAATCGGATTTTGACAGTTTTTCTTTATCCAAAGGAAAATCTAATGTAATGTTTGTTACAAACTACACCCCCAAATATGCTC